GGAAACGTTTAACTACAGTGATTCTACATTGTTAACTTCACATGAATGTTGGTCCTAAATTGTTAATTTCACATGAATGCTGGTCCTAAATTGTTAACTTCACATGAATGTTGGTCCTAAATTGTTAACTTCACATGAATGTTGGTCCTAAATTGTTAACTTCACATGAATGTTGGTCCTAAATTGTTAACTTCTCATGAATTTTGATCCTAAATTGTTAACTTCTCATGAATTTTGATCCTAAATTCTTAACTCCACAATACAACATTATAAATGATTCTCTTTAAAAGTAAATGTCCCGTTTATTCGAGTATGTTAAACAAGTATCGTAATTTGTAATTCTATCTACAGTATCGATACGTTGTGTTATTTATTTTAGAAAATTTGAAATATTTAACTCAGCATCGATATTTTGTGTATTCTTTTAGTACCATCCGAACCGTGCGGTCAGATGGACAGGTGAAGTAGAGTTCACCAGTTTCAGTGACCTCGACACATGAAGTGAAAGTGTGGTCAGCACTATACCTAGCCATCATTACCTCCCCAAACCTGGGTTAGGGGTGTCCCACAGACTCGAACCCGGGAACTTGAGACTTTTTTTTATAAGGAACGCTCTACCATTCGACCACGCCTTCGACAGCCGCAGCTAATGTTTGCCTTGTATTAGGGACTTGGCGATTCTCTTATGTTTGCCTTGTATTAGGGATTGGACGATTCTCTTATGTTTGCCGTGTATTGCGGACTTGGCGATTCTCTTATGTTTTCCTTGTATTAGGGATTGGACGATTCTCTTATGTTTTCCTTGTATTAGGGACTTGGCGATTCTCAACTAAAGGGGCGCTAACCCCGACTCGTGTCCACCAACCAAGTTTGGGAGACCAACGCGACCGTGTCCTGTTTATTGAGGGCTTTTACTGACGTCACGGGGTTGAAGAGCGACAAGAGAAATGCGGATTAGCGCCGCCATTTTTCCTCGTCCTGCTGATTAAGATAATTATCTGAGCCGGACTTAAGGCGTTTAAATTAATGATGAGGCTTGAAAGAAAACTGCCACTTGAAAACTGAGCGAAGGATTTTGCTTGTGGAAGTTTTGTTTGTGGAAGTTTTGTTTGTGGAAGTTTTGTTTGTGGAACTTTTGTTTGTAGAACATTTGTTTGTGGAACTTTTGTTAGTGGAACTTTTGTTTGTGGAACTTTTGTTTGTGGAACTTTTGTTTGTGGAACATGTATATATATATATATATATATATATATATATATATATATATATATATATATATATATATATATATATATATATATATATATATATATATATAAACATGTTAACAATTATATAACCTTCGTGTATGATTGCTGTCAGTAGCGGCCCCTACAATTTGTTTCGGAATTCAAACAATGACACGTTTCGCATGACTGACTCCCAGATTTCACGCCTCGCTTGTCTCCAGCGGCGCCCTTCTTTCAGCGTCAGTCACGTGTAACCGACGGTCCCATTTGTTCATAGCATTTAATGATCACGCTAATTAGCATTTAATGAACACGCTAATTAACCCTGCGTGCATGAGCGACACCGGAGATCGGGATCAACAGAGTACGGATCATCGTGGATTATATGGATCATGTGATCAACACATTGGATCAACACATTGGATCAACATGGATGACCATCTTGCTGACATGATCAACACATTGGATCAGCGATATCAATCAACCTTTAACTACCTAGGTGTACGTACCTCGAGGTTCGAACACCAGTGTGTGCCCCAAAGATCGAACTAAACCAAGACGTACCAAGTCTGCAGATCTAAAAGCTACCGACATAAATTCCCCACCTAGACGAGTTAATCTGATTTCAGTTGCTTCCCTTGAAAATTTTATTTTAGTTGCTGTCTCCCCTTTTGAGTTAGCAAGAAAAGAAATCCCAGATAACTCTCGTGTTTTACGACCAGTCGCCTCCCCTTGTTAAAGCTGACAAAACGGATTTGTTTCCCTTTAGTGCATCACACCTGCAGTTCCGTTTTTGATGATTAATAATTAATTAGCTAAGTGACGAATCGGCGCCGAGACTGATCAAATCGTGTTTACAAATAGCGCGCGCTGTGGACGCTGTGTCACGCGGCCATCAAATTAATTGGATGAGTGATCGTCAACAGAGTGGGTGTGTGTGTGTATGAGTAGGTGGGGAGGGGGGGGGTCGGTCATAGGTCAGTGTCTTAGGTCAAGCTGGGTTTAATTACAACTAGGTCAGATGTCTGTAAAATCCCTGAATACCTTAATTAAACAATACATTCATTAAGCAATGCCTTTATTAAGCAATACATTAATTAAGCAATACAAATGTTGATTGACTTTAGTATACAGAAATAGAAATTTGATTAGCTTAGCATGTCAGTGGGTCGGGCTAAAATTATATATATATATATATATATATATATATATATATATATATATATATATATATATATACATGCGTCTGTGTGTTTAATTTTAAGTGGATCTGTGTATATGTGGATGTATATGTTCACGCCTGTCGTAGTGTGTATGTGTATGTGAGTATATGTATGTATATGATGGTCTGTGTATGTGAGACAGTGTGTGAGGGTGCATGTGAGAGTGTAAGGGTGTGTATGAGTGTGCATGTGAGAGTGTATGTAAGGGTGTGTGTGAGAGTGTGTTTGTGAGTGTGTCCCTGAATCATATACCTAATAAGAAGACTTGAAGCCCGTAGATTCCACCAACCTGAAGCATGAGAGAGAGGAAGAAGACGACAATATGCAGCACAATGATCCCTCAATGATTACAGGTGTAGACAGCGGCATTAAAACCACACAATATCAAGTCGCCTTTGTCGCTGTATACAAACAATCACGCACAATCATCCCACAATCATCCCACAATCATGCCATCTCGTATGCCCCGAGTTTGAATAAAAAAAATCTAATTTCAATTCTCTAACCACATGGAGTGGCTTTGTGTGATCCGACCTCTGTCTGAATGTCTGTCTGAATGTCTGTCTGAGCGCATGTTTGCGAGCTGTTTCCAGCTGCCCGGCGAGTCTACGGCTGTCCGGCCCGGCTTATCTTTATTCCACCTAATTGTGCATCCTCAATAAGTTTCTCTGGGACAGACCCACCCCCTTTCCTTCAACCCCCACCAACGCCTCTCCCTCAACCCCCACCAACCACTCTCCTAGAAAATAATTTCACAAGTTTTGGTGGGCCCTGAGATTTTTTTATGAAAGATTAAAATCTTTTCAGCCTGCATAGAAATGCGCCATTTTGTTGGGTTTTTTTTTTTAATAAACCACGGCTGTGGGGTGGGGGATATGTGTGTGTGTGTGAGGGTTCGTTTTGTATTTCTCCGTGTTTTTGTGCAACTGTGCGTCGGTGTGTGTTTTAGAGAGTAATATCAGAGAGTAGTTGGATAAAAATGTCGCGCCAAGACTGAAGTTAGACAAAAATGTCGCGCCAAGACTGAAGTTAGACAAAAAATGTCGCGCCGAATTTCGAGGCTTCAAATGAAGTTTACATTTGACTGACACGGTTAGATGTGCTTCAGCCTCGTCAGACAACGCCCCCACAACACCCCCACAACACCCCCACACCACTCACACACATATTGCCCCCACACATAAGCCTGTTTCTGGCGGTGAACGGAAAAAAAGTCACAGGAAAAAAAACACAGAAAAAAAGTCACAGTTTTTGCTAGGAAAAAAAGTCACAGAAAAAAAGTCACAGTGGAAAAATTTTATCGGAAAAAAAGTCACAGAAATAAAGTCACAGAAAAAAGTCACAAAAATCTTTTTAGAAATATTGTTATTAATTTGTTAAGAATTGTAAATTTTGTATGTTTATTGTAGTGGGTTGTATTTCTTGATACCATAAATTATTTATAGATGTTAAAAGCATTATGATTTATAACAATTGTAAGTAAAAATACTCTAAGATAATTAACACAACAATCTCAACTTTGGTTACGTATTTAGTTAAATACGCGGTAGAAAAGTTAACTATAAAAGAAATTTAGGCACATTTTGCCGTAGGCTATTCTCTGGTCGGCCTCTCCTCAGTAGGCATTGTCCGAACATATGTTGTGTTGTTGACGTTATGCGTCAATGACAGCCTTTGAACCTTGTCGGCTTTCTGTTTTGATCCTAAGTTTTGTTATGTAATGAGCGTGATAAATGTGGGCAGTATTAAAAGGTGGTTGAACTATTGTTGCCATGAGTTGAGGGCAGCAAGTCCGACGAACTTACCATTTCACGGTAATTTAATATTGGTATTTAAAAAAAAAACACGATGAAAAACGTGGACTTTGGAGCATTCTATTAAATGCTACTAATCTTAAGTTTAAAATAATTACAATCTACATACTTCATAATAAATATTTTTAGATGAATTATAAAAATTCCTATGCGTAAATAGCCTACACACATTACATTACATTTAATTAATCCTAAGTTAATTTGCACTCTCTAAATATTTAATACATAAAAGTATTAACAAATATCATGCAAATATATATTTGTGACTTTTTTTCCTGTGACTTTTTTTCCTGTGATTTTTTTTCCTGTGACTTTTTTTCCTGTGACTTTTTTTCCTGTGACTTTTTTTCTGTGTTTTTTTTTCCTGTGTTTTTTTTCCTGAGACTTTTTTTCCTACAATCGTTTCTGGCTAGCCCTGCTCTAATGAAGAAAATATTTTAAAAATTCAAAGCCAATGTTGCCCTGACATGAGCGCCATATTGGAAGACAACAGACAAAAGTCTGGTCTGTAGAGGGTGGGGCATATCCGGTACATGCACTGGACGTGCCAATATGTTGGGCAGCACATGGGTTGGACTTTTAAATGACATGTTAAATGACATATTGAATGACACATAAAGTGACATATTGGAGGATACATAAAATGACATCTAGGATGACACATTAAATTAATCTTGGATGACATTAAATGACATCTAGGATGACACGTAAAATGACACGTCTTATTTTCCTTGCAGGTTAACTGACCAACAACTCGGATTGACTTTCAAACAGGTAAGTCAAACGTGTCGTTGTCGGTCACCTGTTATGTCAGTCCATGTCTACACCTTTAGACTAGTCAACGTTCAGTTATGGCAGTGTCATATAATAGGTGGTGACACAAGGTGGGCTGGTGGTGACACAAGGTGGGTTGGTACACAAGTTGGTTGATGGTGAGCTAATGTGGACCTTTCAAGTCTTAAATCAGTTTAAAAAAACCTATTAGTTCCCAACAACCGACTCTGGTACAGTGTCCACTTTTCGGGTCACTTTGTGTGTCTCTGTTCGGGTCATTATTCTGTCAACCACACTACCCTCTCGTTAAAGTATAGATGGACTACCAGCACCGGTCAAAAAGTTTTCCTCAAACACTCGTTAAACACGGTCACGTGATGCCATCTTGCCAGAGGTGGTTTGTGAGGGTGGGGTGAGTTGATTAAGGCTTGTGTGTAGCCATGGAGGTTAAACTTGTGACGGACAGGTCCAACGCTAAACTTTCTCTATCAGCTAGAGAAGACAGCGCCTCTGTGACCCGCCCATTTTCCGGCTGCCGGGTCCGTCGCTCTGCGGGCCTTATCAGATGACCGGAAGTTCGCTTGGAGAGTCAAAAGTCGAGATTACGTCATTGACCTTTCACTTCCTAGCCCGGGTTGAAATGTTGTGCACAACTTTATCGAAGACCCACAACTCTAAATAACAACTTTCGGTGACCCGCAACTTTCATTTAAACAGCGAGACTGTATCGTTCTGCGTGCAACCATCTTGTCTACGGCCAGCCGATTCATCTCCGGGCAGCCGATTCTTCTCCGGACAGCCGATTCGTCTAGTCGGACCCGGCTGTTGTACACGTCAGTGAATTATTCACACTCAGCCGCGCGAGTTTACAATCTTAAAAAGGCTTTTGTTTACACAATCTACTCGAGGATTGAACAATCCAGCCCCCCAATCACCCCACTCAATCGCCTCAAAGATTGCGACAGTGCAGCCATTGAGCCCGGGGTCCCGCTGAAACCCGGACCGTCTCCTGCATCATTTAACACCTTTCTCTCTCGCGTGCTACATAGTGCGAACGTCTCCAGCGCGCGCAGAACAAAAATCTTCCCCAAGTTGAAGGATTCGATAAGCGAAAAGCTTCTCAAGACGTCGGAGAGATGGCTATGAAATATGCATTGAAATTTGTGTTTGTTTTTAACGGAGCTTGCTAGAATATTTCTTCCATCGGACGGGCGGAGAATGAGTTTTACTTAGAGGCGCCAGGCAGTGTCGCCTTAACCAAACTGTTCTCAACAAAGGCGAGTCATTAACAATTCCATCGCTAATTTTTGTTGCGGTTCGTTGTTTTACGCTTATGGATTTTATTTTTTTGTAGTCGGGGTTTTAGCCCTCTTCCTACATAAGCTCCATTATGACTGACTACTTTAGTAAGTAGTACTTTCATCCTGCGTTCTATTTAGTTCTATAAAAAACTTATTTATTTCACTAGAGTTACGAGACACGCAGCCGTTTCACACCTTCGTGGCGATGCTTCGTTAGAGACATATCAGATACCACATATTGGTTTTCTTAAAAGTTTTAGAGATGTCTGTCGCTATCTATTCTCTTTTCTTCAGGAAAAACGACATAAATACCACCCAAACCTGCCACCCACAAACTACAAACACAAACCCCACCCATAAACTTTAACACAATCTTGCCTAAATACGAAACCTATTTTTTACCTTAAAATGCCAGGCGTCGCTTTAAGAGGAGATTTATACAGGACGCTTCGGCTATTAATAGAATGGGTGAGGTGGCAGGAAGCACGTGCCCAAGTCGCTGTTTAAAACATGGCGCTGTTTCCGGAACTTCTTAAAAAGTTCGTCTCGAGTTTTTTTTTCCTGAATTAACTTTTGATTGGTCACGCTCAGCAGATAAAAAATGGCGACGTTTGTTAAAGTCCAATGCTAGTACATGGGTCGACGTCTGATACATACGTCTAGTGGACGTCTGATACATACGTCTGTTTGGTGGACGTATGATACATACGTCTGTTTGGATGACGTTGGTGAGCTTGGTATTTCAGATAGTAGCAAGGTGAATGTCGTTGATGGCAATTTTTTCCTTGGCGCAATCCTATCATTCCAATAAACGTAATTACAACTTAGACCGATTAGAGCAAGTTATGACTGTAAGTCATCTAGCACTCACCTGACCCCAGTCACGTGACTGCTAGATGACTTCCTATTTGAGTTACCCAGACGGCTCGGGCAGGACCGGGGTGAACTCAGGGGACGTAAGCGCGGCTTGCCTCCGCTCCCTATCATCACATAGCCTACAAATTTGGAATCAAAATGACAAGAAAACAAATATTCAATTTTTTCCACATGATTAAAAAACAGAATTTCTCCGGGCAGGGGGTGGACAAGGGGGCACAACTCAAGGTAATGGAATTAAAATTAAAATCAATACTGGGATTTAATGCTGGGGATTTGCAATGATACACACAGAACGATGACGTCATCGACTATTATTTTTCCAAACGATGAAATAGGTTTTAAAAATTAAAACAATCTATCAAGCTTATTTACTTTTGATTATGTTTTCAAAAATCAATTTTTAATTACTTCCCTTGCGGATTACTCGGTTATTCCCCATATACAACAAATGTTTCAGCTTTTGTTGTCCGTGGAAGGAAAATATGCAATAGTTGTCCGACAGAGCCAAGATTTCCTTACATGCTAAAACTCCGTTTACATTTTTCTTTCGTTATCGCCACTGATTCGAAGTCTTGCTTGAAAGTACGATGTGAATAGTGACGTGAATTGTGTGAATAGTGAATGGAATTGTGTGAATAGTGACATGTTATGTGTGAATAGTGAAGTGAATTGTGTGAATAGTGAAGTGAATTGTGTGAATAGTGACGTGAATTGTGTGAATAGTGACATGTTATGTGTGAATAGTGAAGTGAATTGTGTGAATAGTGAAGTGAATTGTGTGAATAGTGAATGGAATTGTGTGAATAGTGAATGGAATTGTGTGAATAGTGAAGTGAATTGTGTGAATAGTGAATGGAATTGTGTGAATAGTGACATGTTATGTGTGAATAGTGAAGTGAATTGTGTGAATAGTGAAGTGAATTGTGTGAATAGTCAATGGAATTGTGTGAATAGTGAATGGAATTGTGTGAATAGTGAAGTGAATTGTGTGAATAGTGACGTGGAATTTTTACATTCGGGTTTTTAAAAAACCGATTGGCCAGATTTTAAGACTGCGGCCATTTTGTGGGCGGTGAAAATATTTAATGGAGTTGTCTTTTCATTACAGTAAAAGGCACGTTTTGTGTTTTATTGGTAATTCATTTTTTTGTCTGACATTTTTGCGGCCAATTTATCTGATGGTATAGGTTCACGTGTATGATGGTGTGTACGATGGTGTGTACGATGGTGTGTACGATGGTGTGTACGATGGTGTGTACGATGGTGTGTACGATAGTGTGTACGATGGTGTGTACGATGGTGTGTACGATGGTGTGTACGATGGTGTGTACGATGGTGTGTACGATGGTGTGTACGATGGTGTGTACGATAGTGTGTACGATGGTGTGTACGATGGTGTGTGTATGCTGTTGTGGATGATGGTGTGGGTTTTTATGTTTTGAACAGTTTTTGAAAAATATTCGGAGGTCACGAGTTCAAGGTCACACAGTTTGCTGACCTTTGGCCTCCTAGTCTCGTTACAGTGACGTAACAACACCACCGACAGACCCAGGCAGCAAAAACAATATTTACACATTTGTTGTCACTGAATCAGGTAAATCCAAAGATCCGTTTTCTATCGAGAGAACCAATCAATACAGATCGATCGAGATCGATGAGTTGCTACAGATCGGTGCAGTCACAACGAAGTCCCGACAACCGTTTTGTTCAATCAACAACAATTAACTCCCCTCATTGCGACCTGGAAGTGACGTCACTTGCGTTCCTTTACAGCGAGGAATATCCGGTTAACAAATTTTCGTCAAAGTCACGTGATAGAGCTTCGATGGAGAGGGGGGGGGGGGTGTAGAGCACACGTCTGCTAGCCGGAGAGTCTCGATTTTTTTATCACAGGCTCATTCAGCTCTAATAAGTACCTGACTCAAGTCAGAGAAAGTAGAGCGACTGAGTATAGGGATGGCCACTCTATCCCTTCATATGCAGAGGTCCCAGAAATACATGAATTCTACTTCGCCTGCCTCATAGACCGTAAGGTCCCTTGTACTAGCCTGACAAAATCTTGGTCGATGGTACAATAGCGTCAGTAGAGACAGCAATGTTTGGTTGGTATCTAGAAACTTCCAGACAACATGTTACCCCAGACACCACCCTACATCCGAACCACATACAGACACACATACATACATACATACAGACACAGATATACAGACGTACATACGTACAGACATACAGGCACGGCGACACACAGAAGCGATGCTCTCATTTGTGACCTATTGGTAAAGTCTTTTTTTTTCAACTCACGATGACGTCAGAAGCCTACGCGGACCACGTCATTTTACTCACAAGTCAACATGGCTGAAAGGGCGGTAACTCGATAGCGCCAGTTCTCTTCCCTAACCCCCACTGATCTCCCTTTAATATTTGTGGACAGTGTAAACTAGAGGGGCGGGGGGACGTGTCCCCAGCCTCCTCTCCCCTACATAGTCATAGAATGTGCTTTTCTAATCACGAAATAGATGGAGCTGTACCACCCCCCCACCCCCACCCCCCACCGCCCCGTGTAGGAGCCTGACTTAAGAGCATCTGTAGCACACAAGCTAGGGGTCGACTGGAGATCGCGAGGCCGTGACAGCGCATGCCGGAAACTGTTCCTCCTGCATGATCAACATTGCTTCAGATCTTGAGACCTCGTCCAAAGTTCAAGGTCGATGGACAACTTGCTTCTTGATACAGCCTTTCTGGAAGGGTCAAGAGGGGTCAGCTCAGTTGACCTTCACCACTACGTCATTTGACCTTAGCCACTAGTGAAGAAAAAACCGCAGACATTACATGTAGAACGTAGCGAACATCTTGGAAATTAAATTGTTTGTCTGAACATTTCTGTCGTCGGAATTTTTTTTCTTCTCTAGGTTGCTTCTCCTTTTTAGGCTCGAATCTGACTGTTGAAACGTTTATCTGGTAATAACAGTAATTGTAGGAGTTTTTACTACTTTATTCTTGGGTTGTGTATGTAATCATTACAGTAATTGTAGAAGTCTTCTTTTCCTGGGTTGTGTAAGTTATCATTACAGTAATTGTAGAAGTCTTCTTTTCCTGGGTTGTGTAAGTTATGATCATTATCTCAGCGGTTCCATCTGTAGATGTAGGTACCGATGTTTGCTGTTGTTCTGTCTAGCGACGGTGGGTGTAGGAAGGTCACCTTTAGTGTTATACTTGTCACAACATTACAAGTTTCACCACGCAAAAAATAAATCTTAAGAAAACTACGCCGTCTCGCAAGTCCCAATTAATTACCCCATTTCCAAAAGATAGACAACTCAAGTATCCGAATATAGCCGCAGATGTCCAAAAGTAGCCGCAAGTTCTTGAAACGATGAAAATTGATTTTAAAACCAACAATGAAAGCTAAAGTAAGCGAGACAAGGAACCCGACTCAGTCCGAATGTCTGGAAGATTCGTCTCAATTATGTGGGCTGGTGGTACCGTGGGCCGGCCGGTGGGATGGTGGGCCGCCGTCAAGGTAAATATACCAGGTATACTTTATAAATGGCGGCTGAAATATCCACGACCGGCGGAGACAATTTGGCGAGTCAGACATATACATTCAGCTGATGAAAGTACTGTTATTCTTAAGACATGGGATCTATTCTTCACTGTATTATGGGGCGGGGGGGGGGGGGGGGGGGGGGCTAATGGATTGACAGAATTGGGAGAATTCTGCAATCAGTTAACGTGTGTGTGTTTGCCGTCAGTAGAACTACAGCACACCAACACACAGACACCAACACACACATCAACACACTAACTTACACACACACACCAATACACAGACACACTCACTAACACACACAATCAATCACCACCACACACACTAACACACACCAGAGTAATGTGTACTTAGTTGTATCAGAACTTAGGATACTACAATATTTTAAAGAATTTGTCTAAAAATCTGGATCGAGCATGATTTGTGTTTAAGACTGACATTTTTGCTCTGATCAAACATTTGAAAACTTTCGCACGGGGCTTGTACGTTTATGAGACCAAAAACCGTTTTGGTCCTGTTTGTTTTTCGTTTTCAATTAAACACTTTTTAACATTTTAATTTAACTTGTTAATTTTTTTTTCTTCTTCTTAATTTGTGGATAATCTTTAGATTCCTCTAACGTTAATCCTAATCCCCATCTAAAAAACTCGTTAATCTAGTAATATTTTATTCAAATTGTATCAGTTCTACTCAATCGACCACAAATCTGATTACTTCTTCCGGCTTTTAAATTACACGATTTCAAAATTGATTATTTACAAACGAGATTACATAAGTTAAAAAATCTAGAAAGATTCCTTGGGGTCTTTCAAATCCAAATCTTGAAAGCAAAACAAATCTAACCGGAAAACTAAGTTGGTTGTGTTGGTAAGGGGGCGGTACTCAATCAGGTTTTACAATTACAGAGGATGGTAAGGGAAACAACTCTCAAGAAAATCGATGAACTGTTATCAAATCTCTTAAGAGCGGTGACGCTACAAAAATGGCGTGTTTTAAGAACTCATTTGTCAGTTTACAAAAAAGTTGAAGTCCCGTCAGCTCAACAACTAAAAATTTTAACAGGACAATTTTTTTAGGGTAACTAACGAAGCCACGTTTAATTGACTACGCCCTGAGTAGGATTTTGTTACATTATTATATACTTAATATAATTAATTTAAACCATCTAGTTTGAGGATTGAACGGCTGTTCTATCAACAGTCGGCCAACACGAACGTCGCCACTTAGCACCCATACAGCACCTGCTAGGACGTAGCACTTAGCACATGTTAGGGACTCGTTCTGAAATCGTCTGCGACGGTTCCAGCCAAACCTGGAATTGTGGCCTCACAGTGGCCGGCTAATGTCCATCGCAATCTGTGGGAGACAGAACCTTTGTGACGTCGGCATTTGAAAGTACAGGAAGGTCACCAAGGTTGTGCTCAAGGACGAACTAGAGGACTCAAACCCCAGACCCGAACCCGCGACTTTCGGGTTTGCAAAAATGCTGTCCTATGTTGTAAAGCATGTTGCTGCATCACTTGTTGAATATTCACTGTTGTAAATCAGAATCAGAAGTCGTTACCCTGGAATATAAGCGCTGGTTCAGATGTCCCTAACAGCCATGCGACCTGGACTGGTCAGACAAGGTGACCATTGTCAACACACCCTCACAAACCGCCTCAATCAGACGACATTCAACGATTCCAAGTTAATTCAAATTTGATTTTAGAAACGGTTTTAAAATACTTGAGAAATCAGAAGGCTTCCTTTAATTAATTCTTTAATGCTGTGTTCTTCAAGATAAAAAATGGCTTGAATTTTGCCTTAATCCGTCCAAAACAAAATCATTCATTTGGTATGAGAGAACAAATCAATCTAGCAGGTTTATTTTTAGCTTGTAAAGTAGGTGACTGGGTGACCTCTTGGTATTGCACATCTCGAGATGATGAATACTTGCATATCTGGCGATATGGGGGGACTTTTTGTACTGGTTTAGCTGTGAGTACAGCCACAGCTAGCTGTGAGTACAGCCACACAGCTAGCTGTTTATACAGCTATGGCTAGCTGTTCGTTCAGCCACCTCTAGTCCGAGAAATATGTGTTCACAATGTGACAGCTCTAGTTACAGCCCTGTTCTACAGCATTTGCTGTATAAAAATTACACGACAGCCGAATTGTGTCTTGTGTGTATGTCGGTCAACTGTGATGAACCAACTTACATAGCTAGATTGTGACTGACAACTGGATGTGTCAGTTGACAGGCAGTATCTGACAGGCAGTATCTGACAGGCACTACTTGACAGTATCTTCAGGCTAACTCACAGGCTATATCTGACAGGCAGTATTTGACAAGTACTGTTAGATCATTGTCTTCTAATATTTGAGATTATTTTATGTGTCTAAGTATACTTTAAAATCCTTTGCCTCTAACACATACACTGTGCTTTTTATATATTAGGATGCGTTCATTTTAAATTTGTTCCATTAATCCATTAATTAGTAATAATGGCATCCGCGTGAATTAACACACAATTAAAACACTAATTGATCTCTGACTCACAACTTTCTTACTCCCACACTACTCCCACGCTCAATACACACACCCACACACACACCTCACACACCCAACTCTCTCTCTCACACACACACACCCCTCACACATTCCCATTCACTCCCACACCCCTCACACATTCCCATTCACTCCCACACACACCAACACTACTCCCACCCCACTCACACACAATCTCCACACTGCCACCAACTTCCACTCACCCCTCCCCCCACCCCCACGGTGGAACAGAATATTTTGACAAACTGGAACTTCAGCGTCATAAAAAAGCTGGCCAGCCTTGCACAATGCCTGACGTATGACTGTCTGTCAGGGTTTGATGGATGGGTCAGCTGAGCCTCGACTGTCGTCTGCGAGAGTCTGGCGAGCCATCAATAGCTGGTGGCTCCGTGTTGGTGGCCCCGTGTTGCTGGCTCCGTGTCGGTGGCCCCCGTGTTGGTGGCCCTGTGTTGGTGGCCCTGTGTTGGTGGCCCCGTGTCGGTGGCCCCGTGTCGGTGGCCCCGTGTCGGTGGCCCCGTGTCGGTGGCCCCGTGTCGGTGGCCCCGTGTCGGTGGCCCCGTGTCGGTGGCCCCGTGTCGGTGGCCCCGTGTCGGTGGCCCCGTGTCGGTGGCCCCGTGTCGGTGGCCCCGTGTCGGTGGCCCCGTGTCGGTGGTTCTATGTTCTCTCTGGCAGTAGAAGGACTGCCAGGTGTGACGTCACAACACGAGATCATCCGGGTTACAGTTATCACAACACCAACACAACCTTCGGAGTATGATGTCACTTCATGCGGAAACGATCTCAGTGGCGTACCACCGTGCGCGAGGGATGGAAAGAGAAAGGGGTAGGGAGAAGGAGAGAGCAGAGTTTCTTCCAGGCATCTTTTCAAGGAGGCTGAGCCTCCCCCCCCCCCCCCCCCCCGAAGAAAGTCTACCGCCCCCCAAAAGAAATGAAATTAATATAGAAAATATATACTTTTAACAGTGTCCGCTTTCATGTTATATATTCTTTTGACCGATTAGATGTTGAGAGGACCTATAGCAAAGATAAAATAAAACTGATTTTCACTAAAGACACTAATGCACTTACACACATGACATGTTGTAGTTATTTGTTTTAATTGAAAAAAAAACCTTTTTTTTTCAAAATCCAAACTGGCCAGCAATGAGTATCCTATGTTCGTATTTTGTGTTTGTGTATATATATATATATATATATATATATATATATATATATATATATATATATATATATATATATATATATATATATATATATATATATATATATATATATATATATATATATATATATGGGGGGGGGGCTAAAAAAATTTTTGCGGGGTGGCCCTTTTTTTCTAGTCCTGCCACTGGATGTAGGCCGGGTTTGTCAAAGATCTGCAGCGTCTCTAGCTCGCCAAAGATTGACCGTTGGTCACAGGGACTTACTTAAGCGTGAGATAACAACTTTTACATAACCCAACTAAAATTCTCATCAATTATCTAGTGGAAATGTTGTATCATATCCCGTGGGAGTTTTAGCTAATGGTGTCAGTATTTGAGTCGGGTTGTAAGTCGGTTTATTGTGTCCTAATTCATCTGTCTACACCGACTCGAGTAAAGCTCAAGCGAAAGGTCTTCGTTGGATGGAGACCCCGGGGGCTGCAAGTGGGGCTGTCCACACGCGGACACTGACCACACGATACCTGGACATGCCAGTTCACAGAAAATATTAAACACGCGTACTCTACTTCATCTGCACATTTAACTGCTATGGGTGAAATACAAATTTAAAAATAAAAATAATTCCAAATACCTAGGGCTAAAAAGAAAGAAATTTAATGAAGACGTTTTTAGGGATGTTTTAAAATTGTAAACTTTTCTAAAATATACAGGTGTATCGTATCGCTTGAAAACAAAATTATACTGTATCATTTTATAATGGTAAACATATGCAAACCTATATCCAAACACTTATGTTGTATTCTTACCACAACTGTCCTTTAGAGTTGTCCTAATATCCTAACCACCGTTGTCCTTATATCCTAACCAACGTTGTCCTTATATCCTAACCACCGTTGTCCTTTATATCCCAACCAGGGCTGTTTCTACCTCTACTGATCCCTACATCAAACACCATATTTCTCCACTCTACCTCTACTGATCCCTACATCAAACACCATATTTCTCCACACGAGTTTTAATTATCTCCCCTCTCAGGGGCGGTTATCCACCATTTGACCTTTGCTCACAGCCTTTGCAACGGGCAAGATTTTTCAATCTCGGTATGTGTGTAGGGGGGGGGGGGGGTGGTAAGGGCGGGGTTCGGGGAGTAAGGGTGTAAAGGGTTGGGAGGGTGGAGGATGGAATATACAACCGGAAGATAAAAATAAAAAGTTGAAATGTTAAAATAGTTTAATGTTTCCTAGATGATTACTTTAAAACCGAGTGTTGGGAAATAGTGATATATTAGGGTCGTTGGTCTTATGTTTAATGGAGAGTACTGAGTATAAGTGACTGGTATTAGTGGGGGGGGGGTATGTTGGGTGCTTGCCTTGTTCATATATTAGAAAGTTAATAAGACACACACACACACATATATATATATATATATATATATATATATATATATATATATATATATATATATATATATATATATAAATATATATATATATATATATATATATATATATATATATATATATATATATATATATATATATATATATATATATATATGTGTTTGTCTAATAAAGCCTATAAAAGACTGTATAAATAGCTAACCAAGTTTCCTGTAAGAAACCAGTAAAGGTTCCAATTAACTCCCCTGCTGTGATGACGTAGCCAACACAAAACGATGACGTAGAAAGCTGTACTCTTGTCAGACGCAAACCAAATGTGATCACCATTCAAGAAACAAGGACAGGTTGGTCAATACGCTGATGACACTTTTTCTGAGTGTCTGGTTAGAAAGGTTAGCGGGGGGGGGGGGGAGAGATTCGTGGGGCGGGGCATTAGAAGAGGGCAAAAGGTTAATGACTGTAATATTTCTATAACCGAATCAAGAGAGACAACTCAAGAAATGTATCAAGTCGGAATTGAGTTTTGATTCAAGTTTTTCAAGTGGTGTTATTCTACCGGCGGAGACTTACACTGACCTATTTACCGCAATGTTGGTTGGTTGTTGGCTGGTGACGTAGGTACTAAGGCCACGTGACCTGCCGCTCACCATGCCAGCTGTTTAAGGCGTGGGCAGACGAGAATAGAGCAGACGACAGCAGATATTTCTAGCTCCATCCAGACGACCTAACAATACCCGGATGTTGACCCTGGGAGCGTGACTCTCTCTTTCCCCGTCTGTAAGGTAAACTCCCCCCCCCCCCCCACACACACACATTAATCAAAGATTTCCCCCACCCGCCGACAAAAATTAAAAGAGTCAAACAAAATGGCCGACTTAAAGCCGCGTCTATTCTCATCGCGCCGCCATTAATTTGCATCAACTTCCGGTTCAAGGTCGTTGTCTACTAGCTCCTGGCTGACAAGGACAAACAAACAAGGCATCAGGTGAGGGGGGGGGGAAATCTTAGGTAGAATTAGGTGAGGGGGGGTTCTTAGGTAGAATCAGGTGAAGGGGGGCGTCTTAGGTAGAATTAGGTGAGGGGGGGTCTTAGGTAGAATCAGGTGACGGGGTGGGGGGACAAATTTAGCATTAGATAGTTAAGGTTGAGAAAAAAGTCATTAGTGGCCGTTTCGAATTTTAGAAAATCACCTCAGAACCTCTAAACCCACCAAATGGCATGGCCGTGAAGATGGAGTAAGTTAGTAGAACCGTTAATGTGGAGTCATTTAGAGCCAACGTTTCAGGTTCAACCACTGGTTGTACCCTGACCTTGGCCTGTGGATTAACGCTTTAAGAGCTGCGCCATCATTTCCCCCACACACATACAGACACGTCGACTCTGCTCCACCTACACCGCCACGTGTCCAACCCACCCTCCTACAAGCCACATGCACCAGTTCTCACTCTAATCACTCCACAGTGAGTAGTGTAGGCTACTCAAGGCTACCCAGGGCTACCCAAGGCTACATCCCGGCTAGGATACTCTGACGTATTCACGGCTACATCCGTCTGCCTAAAGGATTAAACAATTTCAATAAGCAAAACATATTTGTGTGGTGCTGGATCCCTTACCCCCCCCCCCCCCCCCATATCATATAATCCCTATCCGCTGCCGGATTGATTTCAAATTAGTATAACACTCTAAGCCTACAAATCTTCAACATAACGCTATAAAGAGAAAAAAAATCGTCACTAAATCTGGCTTAAAAGGGAGAGAATTACACGAGATAGATAAATAGAGTTACATCCCCTGCTTAAGCAATGAGTTATTAATAGAACGTGCCCGCAAGAAGCCATCCAAGTCGTAAACTGCTTATCTGTTTTGTAAATTGAGGATCTATTGATTTTTGCATGCAGAGAATTTGATAATTATCATATTTCGCCAAAAGCTATTTAAACAGAGGGCTGAGTTCTTAGGATTTTTTGGAAATTTATGAATTTCTTTTAATTAATTAATTATGGTAAGTAGGTTAAATTGTTAATTAGGGGTTAATCTTTCTGCTAATTGGGTGATTTGGTGAGGACAAAACCGATTGTAGTATAATAAAAAAATGTCGATTTCTGTTTAAAAAAACAATGTCCACTTGGCCATGACTTAAGACTCCATTCAGACTTGAACAACTTTCAGTCATAAAACGACAATGTTTGAAACTCAACAATTTTGAAAACAAAAGTAACATTTTTTGCTATTGTCTGCTTTCTTGTATATCTATACTAGAATATATATTATTGATATATATATATATATATATATATATATATATATATATATATATATATATATATATATATATATATATATATATATATATATATATATATATATATATCAATATGCATATATGCATATATGTATATTCAAATCCACGCACACAATATTTACAAATACACACACACACACATGCACACACAAGTCTACAGAATATATGAAATGCAACAAACATTCTCTACATATTATGAGTCGGGTCCACCATTCAAACAGGTGTTTCGACATACGGCCTCCGTCAGAATCCGCAAACAAACAAGTTTACCGCCGTAATGTTGCCATCCTTCCATGCCCTGCAGAACCGTTACTGCGCATGTCACCATATCACGTGCAGCCTCGGTGTGAGAAATGTTTTCATTGAAGAAACGCAGAAAACGGACGATTACAGTCGGGTTAAAAACTTGGGGCGTGTTTTTTACGGAACAAACCCAGCCCACACAAGACGGGGTGTTTTTGTTTAATCAGGGACCGTTGAATTAACGGCTTCCATGATCCGGGCCTCTCGCGGACAATTTGGGTGATTCGATTTGTGCACGTGACTCCCTTGTGGTGAGCAGTTCACGGAATTATTTCTATCTAGCTGAGACTCGGCGAGTCGTGATGACGCAAGCTGGGTTGGAGTTACCGGGCCTGGAACCCGCGCCATCTCATGACTTGAGACATTTATTCAACTAAATATGTAACCCTAACCCTAACCCGCGCCATCTCATGACTTGAGACATTTATTCAACTAAATATCCTCGAATTTTTTTTTTACATACAGGGGTTATTTATTTTATGCGAGTTTTGTTATTATTTTAACAGTAAATTTACTGATCTATGACGTCATCAACAATTGTTTC